GGCCTACTAAATTTTGACCATGCTGGAATCCCGTCACATTCCCCCCTTTGATGCCTCTGAAATAACATTATTCCAGATGCATCACTAATCATAATCTACCAACACCTCTCAAGTAACCATGAACCAGTACAGACCTTGTAATCATTCTAACTTAACTTTGTGCTCTCTCAACATTCCTCATCCTGATTATTCTCTCTCTGGGCTAGGGGTTCATACTTCCAGCTGTGTTTCTTTCTATAGTGCTCTCTATAACACTACGTATAGACCTGACCACTAGTGGGATTAGACAGGTCAGGAGGAGGCATAAGAATATAATAAACAATACTCCTCCTACGAATGCTTTAATCCCACCAAACTGCTCATACCAACTCCCGAACCAACTACTTGGATTATACCCTTTCCAGATCTGAGTAGGTACATGCGTCAGTTTAACCATGTGACTGGCAAGATCAACCACTGCCTGCCCCTCATCATCTATGTGCAGACAACAATTACTAAGGTTAAACTTCCCGCACACACCTCCTTCTACTGCTAGTAAGTAATCAAGGGCTAGCCTATTCTGGAATATGGCTGATCGCATCCGGGTATTCTGCTTTGCCAAGAGGTTGAGTGCTTGCGCTGTCTCATTGGTGATAATTTCAACCACCGCCTGTAATCTTATAATGCGGTTGAGCATATGTATTGGGGTTCTATAACCATATGTGCCATCTTACGCCCAGGTAGCAGGTTCATAATAATTCATAATACGCTGGGGAGGCCACTCATCATCTACATTCAATGAAGCTCGCATCTTTCTATGATTCACATCATAAACCTTGACTCCCAAGGTCTCTCCTGTTTCAAATGACAGCAAGAAGAAGGATGGTTTGAGCATATCTAGCACACATGCCCCCTCCCAATCTTGTGGTAACTCTGAGTATGCTTTTTTACCACAGATCCAATACAAATTCACTGGGGCTCTCCAATTAGATGTAGCAGATAGATCAAACCATACTTCTTTCAAATTAGTGTAATTGGCAAACGGATTAGTAGGTTCCGAGTCATTTGAAGCTGACCACCAAGTAGTATCTTTAGTATCGGCATTATAGGCCTTCTGTCCCAAACATGTTAACTCGCCAACAGATGTATTATACATTGGCCCTCTTCTAGCTAATCATACATGGCCTATGATAGACGTTTTTAACTGCCACTCTGATTTTTCCCTTACATTTATTTGATGGCCAGTTTGGGAAGGCATCTGTTGTTCATTTGTCTCAGAACCAGGGTACCAAACTTCTCTCGCCTCCCATGGCCATTGGTCTCCCATATTAGTACCTCCACATACAAAGCAGTTAGTTATATTAAGACTACCTGCAATACTCTCAGCCAAATCAATAAACAGGTTCTTAACATTATGGGGAATTTTATCCTCAACACTCATCTCCTCATAAAAGGAATTAAAAACCTGATGAGTTTGAGCAACTGTTGTCTCGGTTTCAAGACCTACATATATTATGGCTCCTGGATCTGTTCCTGTACCATGTATCTGAAACCCAAAAAGATTCCCAAACTTGTCAATGAAGTGCTGTGGATTAGAAATGGTCATATGCACTCCACAGTTTTACAATACGGTGTAGTGGGCAACCTTTGGATAATCATATCTTGATCTAAATTTGTTCCCCAGTTCACCCAACCTACATATGACCAATACGGGCAGAAGTTGAAGTCTCAATTTGGGCAATCAGGATCAGTAGATCTTTTAGTAGATATTTTAGGGCATAAATATCTATCGTCAAACCCATAAGTCCGTTCCCATTTAAGATTACCGAATACATTCCAAGGTTTCCTGCTACCCAAAATCGCCTTACATGCATCAAATAATAGAATACTCGTGGAATGTATGCTGCTTATCACAGTCTTATTTATTAATGTCCCCTGGGAGTTACTTGGTCACCTGCATGGTAAGAGTGAACAGGTGGATATATGTTCACAGGTAACCTATCTTGCACCCATTTCTGTACCTCCTCCATAGTTTTACCCAACTCCACAACCTGCTGCCGAGTAATTCCATCACCCAACTGACATAAGTTCCCCCTTATATTACTAAGTATGGGAGATGGACGCCCATACATGATTTCAAAGGGAGACAGACCCATTCTTCTAGTAGGAGTACTACGTATTCAACACAGAGCTATTGGCAAAAGGACATTCCACTTGAGCTGAGTTTCCTGACACATTTTAGCCAATTGAGTCTTTATCGTTCTGTTCATCCTTTCCACTTTTCCAGAACTCTGAGGTCTATATGCTGCATGGAGTCTCCACTTGATGCAAAGTACATGAGTCAGTTGTTGTAGACATTGATGGACAAAAGCTGGACCATTATCAGACCCTACAGAACATGGAAGTCCATATCTGGGTATAACTTCCCGTAACAAAAACCTAACAACCTCTCCTGCTTTTTCTGTAAGAGTTGGACAGGCCTCTACCCAACCAGAGTAGGTACACACCGCTACCAGCAAATAACGATATCCCCCAGATTTGGTCATCACGTGTAATCTATTTGTAAATATACTGAACTCCAGGTGGTTTGACAGGGCCTTGTCTTGGGTTGTTACGAGCGCACTGAACACATCTCTGGACAATAGCTTGGGTAAGATGGGATAGTCTTTGTATGTAGAAATGTTTTCTGAGATATTCTTCCATACTATCTCTTCCTGAATGTGTGCCATTATGGAAGTTCTGAACAATCTCTATAGCCAGAGATACCTGGATGACTATCCTTCCATCTTCTAACTGATACCAATTATTCTCCAAGTATTTTCCAGATTCAGTTTTCAGCCACTTCTTCTCTTGGGTTGTATACACCGGAGTCCATTGAGACAGAGGTGCTGGTACAAGGGCAACAACATACCCCACATATTCTGCTTGCCTAGATTCAGCAGCATGTTTTGCAGCGTTATCTGCCATACGATTTCCTCTCACCACATCACTATCGCCCTTCAGATGTGCTCTGCAGTCTATGATATTGACTTCCTTTGGCTCCCATACTACCTCCAATATCTGAAGTGTCTCCGCTGCATTTTTAATTTCTTTTCCCTCTGAATTCAAAAGTCCTCTTTCTTTATACAATGCTCCATGGGCATGAGTTGTTAGGAAGGCCTATCTTGAATCTGTATAGATGTTCACTCTCAACCCTTCAGCTAGTTGCAAGGCCCTTGTCAGTGGGATTAGTTCTGCCTTCTACGCTGATGTCCCTTTCGACAATGGTCGTGCTTCTATTACCTTATCTATGGTGGTTACCGCATACCCTGCATACTGAATACCTTCTTTCACAAAACTACTACCATCCATATAATACTGTATGTCTGGATTCTGGATGGGAAAATCATGGAGATCAGGCCTGCTTGAAAACACTTCATCCATTATCTCCAGACAATCATGTTGACTTTCAGCAGTCTGTGGCAGAAGGGTAGCTGGATTGAGATTATTGACAGTCTCAAGATGTACTCTTGGATTTTCGCATAGCATAGCCTGGTATTTGGTCATTCGGCTATTGTTAAACCAATGATTACCTTTGTAATCCAGTAGGGTCTGTACTGCATGAGGTACTCGCACATAGAGTTCCTGACCCAATGTGAGCTTGTCAGCTTCCGCCACCAACAGAGCAGCGGCAGCCACAGCTCGCAGACAAGGTGGAAGACCACTAGCCACCGCATCCAAATGTTTGGACATGTAGGCTACAGGTCTTTGCCATGGTCCTAGATACTGAGTTAACACTCCGAAAGCCATTCTTCTTTGCTCATGCACATACAGGTATAAAGGACACATGTGATCTAGTAGGCCTAGGGCTGGGGCACTCATAAGTGTTTTCTTGATGTCTTCAAATGCCTTCTGTTGTTCTATGGTCCACAGGAAGGGATCATATTCCGTGCCTTTTACCGCTTCATACAGGGGTTTAGCCAATATTGCATAATTAGGAATCCATATCCTACAGAATCCTGCTGCTCCCAAGAATTCCCGTACTTGTCTTCTATTCTTGGGTACAGGTATCTGACACACTGCTTCTTTTCTTTCAGGTCCCATTGTTCTTTGACCTTCAGAGATTTGGAATCCTAAATATTTGACAGTTTACTGACACAATTGCGCTTTCTTCCTTGACACCTTGTATCCTGCCCTCCAAAGAATATGGAGTAAATCATGGGTTGCTTGCTGGCACATCTCTTTAGTAACTGCCGCTATCAAGAGATCATCCACATACTGAAGCAATACACATTCCCCTGGGATGGATTTGAAGTCTTGTAAATCCTGACTTAGTGCAGATTCAAATAAGGTAGGTGAATTCTTGAACCCTTGAGGTAACCTGGTCCAAGTCATCTGACATTTTGATCCCGTGACAGCATCTTCCCATTGAAAAGCAAAGATACACTGACTTTCAGCAGCAATCCAAAGGCAAAAGAAAGCATCTTTAAGATCTAAAACTGTAAAGTAGGTTGCCCCATCTGGAATTAAGGCAAGCAGATTATAGGGGTTGGGTACCACTGGGTGTATATTAACTACTGCATCATTAACTGCTCTTAGATCTTGTACAGGACGATACTCGTCTGATCCTGGCTTCTGAACAGGTAACAATGGAGTGTTCCAAGGGGAGGTACAGAATTGTAGGATGCCATGCTTCACAAACTTAGCCAAATAGGTCTGTATGTTCTTCTTGGCCTTTTGAGGTATGTGATACTGACGTAGGCTCACAGGGTAGGCCCTAAGCTTTAGTTCAATATGTATCGGTGGGATGTTACGAGCAAGTCCTGGAGGATTATTCTCTGCCCATACTCCTGGAATGTCAAATAAAGTTCCATCACTCTTAGGGTTTGCATTTGTTATTACAGAATAGAAGCACCATTCTTCTTCCTTTGGCACCAATACCGCTATCATGCCTGGTGATTTATTAAACTTCAGAGACGTTGATCCATTAGATAGAAAAGTTATCTGAGCCTGAAGCTTTGATAATAGATCTCGTCCTAGAAGTTGGATTGGACACTCTGGCATATATAGGAACTGGTCCTTCACAAAATGGCCTCCTAAAATGCAAGTGCGACTCCTGAGAACCGGTCAAGCAGTGCTTCTCCCAGTAGCTCCTATCACAGTTACAGTCTTTCCAGAATGTTCAGCACCTGTATCAATCATGAAAGGACTTCTCATTCCCCCTATTGTTACGTCGACCATAGTCTCCGCTTGGCCAAGGGGGATGGAGCCCTGTCAGTATCAATAGTGTTCCATGACGGTGTCAGCCAGACCCACAAAATCTCTATCATTCCTATCCCTGGGTCTCTGAGTAGGTGGGTAATATCTGCCTTCCTGAACACCCCCTCTGCTATTTCCATTATTCCCTCTCAAACTTCCTCTTCCTCGTCCTCTAAAGCTACCACCATAACCACCTCGCCCCCTTCTCTCATCTTGTGTACCGCCTGCATTATATCCCCTCTGTGGACATTCACGCTTCCAATGTCCTTCCTCTTTACAATAAGCACATTGATTTCTACCTAGTGGTCCCCTGCTCATCCTTGTCTCAACTCCTCTGTCCATCTCCCCTCCCTGTCTCACTACACCTGTGATAGCTACCGCTAGCATATCTACTTTCTTCCTCATCTTACGTTCCTCTTCACGCTTTGTCTCAGTTTCCCTATTCATATATACCTTATTTGCAACCTCCATTAGCTGTGATATGGACATTCCTGCAAACCCCTCTAACTTCTGTAACTTTCGCTTAATATCACTTTGGGCCTCGCTGACAAATGCTGAGTTTATCATACGAGAGTTCTCAGGAGCCTCCGGATTAAAAGACGTGTATAATCTGTATGACTCCAACAATCTCTTGTAAAAGGCACTAGGTGACTCATCAGTTTTATGCAACACTTCAGCCGTCCTGGACATATTAATCGCCTTTTTCCCGGCTGCCTTCATGCCAATAATAATGGCTTGCTGATAGGCCTTCAAATGGGGCATGTCAGCTCCATTAATGTTCCAATTTGGATTAGTATTGGGAAAATGGGCAGTGGCCCATGCGACTGGATTAGCCTGTTTTTTTTTTTTTTTTTTATAAGTTTATTTTTTTAATTTTTTCTTTTGTTGTATCACAACATCAAGACAGACAAATTTAAACAATCAAAAAAAATATCATGAAAATAAGTTTGTATACAACAATCAATACAATACAATACAATACATTATTCTCTGAGATTAGCCCTGGTTATTTCTTAGACCTTTGTAGAGGAGTGATTCATGTTTTGGCCTCTCTGATCATCTGCTTTGTACTAGAGGCTCCTCTATCCCTAAAATATTTTACTCAGTAGAACACATAACTATTCATAACTATTCCCATGCCGTCGGGATTACTGGGGGACCCTTCTTTTCACTCTTGATTTTCCACAAGTGTTTTTGTTTTTTGATATATGAATGAGACTCCCTCATAAGGGGATTATCTCATCTATACACTCAGGATCTGCCTGACCCTCTCCTTACATTTTCCCCAACCAATAGGCATTATATACCTTCTTTGGGTCTCTTCCATGTATCTTATCCAGCTGACTTTCCATTCCAAGTTGAAACTTAACTTGAGTTATTACCCTATCTAGGGAAAATAGGGAAGAACTCTTCCAATTGCGTGCTATAATCATCTTAGCCGCTATCATAAAATGAGTATAAATTACCTTATCTTTTTGTAAAAGTGGATCAATGTTAAGGTGTAATAAAACATTTTCTGGTAATTTTGGAATAGACACACAAAGCAATCTCTCTAGGAAATTGAATATTTCATACCACAATTTTGCTACGATCTCACATTCCCACCAAATATGCAAGAAAGAACCCAAGTTCTTCTTACATCTCCAACATATTGATGAACATGAGCTATACATTTTAGCCATTCTTGTGGGCGTGAGATACCATCTGTTGATGACTTTAAACAAGGTTTCCAATATGTTGAAACAATGAATAATTTCACAAGCTCGAGACATTATTACACACCACTTTTCCTTATCTATTACAATATTCAGATCTTTCTCCCATTTTTGCTTTGCGATGATAACCTGAGGAGCCTCCAATTTCAATATAGCACTCATTGCCTTGGAAGAGACCCTCTCTACCTTTTTATGATTAAGAAGTGCACAAATCAATTTAGTTCCTTCTAGGGGGTGTCTTATAATATTTTGAGTTAAGTAATTTTTCACTCTCAAATATGTAAATAATTCCTTATTTGATAGTTGGAATTCTTGCATTAATTGTGAGAAGGTTTTAATTTTTTCATTTTTGTATAGATATTCTATTTGAGTTATCCCTTTTTGGACCCAGCTTCTTATGTTAAAATCCTTAATATAGTATGGAAGTAATTCCAATTTGAGATTAATTGAAATATTGTTCTCCAAATTAGCTTTTCTTCTTATTACTTTCCAAAATTCCAATATGGAGTCTATACATAAGTTAGATTGTCCAATAATACGCAATTTCGGATCTGCATATCTATACCAAAGAATTGAACTCAAATCCCTTACTTGACACCTCTCACTTTCCAAAATATACCATCCCTCCTTTTTTACACTATCCAATTGGGTTCTATATATGGAAAAATTCATTGGCAAAATAAATATCATCTATACTTGGAAAACCTAGGCCTCCATCTTTTATTTTCTGAGCCAAGAGCCCTTTGTTAATTCTCGGTCTCTTATTCTTCCAGATGAAATTATTGATCATATTTTGAGTCATATTCAACCAAGGTTTGGGGATTTTTAACGGAATCATCCGAAACATATAGGCCCATTTGGGTAGAAGGTAGGCTTTTATAAGATTCATTCTTCCCCACCATGTGATTTCAATTTTTTTCCATTTATTCAATGCATTCCTCATGTTTCTAAAACACTTTAAAAAATTAACCTGCACTAGATCAGAAGCTTTCTTTGTCAACAATATTCCCAGATATGGAATGCTAATACTGGCCCAATTGAATTTATAATTGTCCTTTATATTATTTCTGCTTACTATGTCCAAGTTAATATCTAGAATTATAGATTTATTTTCATTGAATTTATAGTTCGAAACTTCACTAAACTTCTTAACAGTTTCCATAAAAGCAGTAATAGATGTAATTGGCTTAGTTAGGGTTAATATTAAATCATCCGCATAAAGTTTTAATTTCAGCTCTCTTTGTTTCGTTATAATTCCGCTTATTAGATTATTTGATCTTATATTTATCGCCAGAATCTCCATAGATATAATATATAAAATTGGAGACAGCGGACATCCTTGTCTTGTCCCATTGTGGAGATTAAACCAATCAGCACATATATTTGGTCCTACTGTCCTAGCCGAAGGACCAAGATATAAAGACATTATAGCTCTATGGATCCAACCCTGATAACCAAATTTCAACAAAGACTTACTCATAAATTCCCAGTCGACTCTATCAAAAGCCTTTTCTGCATCAACTGTTAAAATTGTCATAGGTATTCCTGTTCTATTCGCTAAGTCTATAATATCTATTATACACCTTGTATTATCTGAAGAAGTTCTTCCCGGAACAAACCCTATTTGATCAGGGTCGATTATATTGTTTAAAGTGGGTTTTAATCTATTTGCTATTATTGCAGAAAAAATCTTTACATCAGTATTTATAAGAGAAATTGGCCTATAATTTTCCACTTCCCCCTGATCCTTATTCTGTTTTGGAATAGGTAATATGTTTGCTCTCAACATTTCCTTTGGAAATTGTCCTCTATCTACAATATTATTAAATAGATCTACCAGTTGTTTTATAAGTAAATCTCCAAAGGTTTTATAGAATAAATTTGAAAATCCATCTGGGCCAGGGGTCTTGTTATTCTCCAGTTTTTTAATGACTTCTTCCACCTCTTGAGCCGTTATTAGAGTATTAAGACTTGTTTTTTGCTCCTCTGATATTACTGGAGTATTGATACCATCTAAATATTTATCTATCTCCTTATCCTGGGTTGAAAGGGAATATAATTCACTGTAATATGAGTTAAAACAATGACCAATGGATTTGGGGGAGATAAATGTCTCTTCATTCCTCTTTATTCTAGTAATTTTTTTAGAGGTAGTTTCTTCTCTCAGCTTCTTAGTTAAGAGTTTATCTGCTCTATTACCTGTACTGTATTCTTTTAACTTCAATTTCCCCATTATCTTTGTATTTTTCTCAATTTTTATTTGGTTAATTTGATTTTGGATCTCGGCAATAACCTCCGAGTTCTCTCTTGAAGGGGTTTTTTTTTATTCTCTTTAGATTTTTCCTCTAATTTATCAAGTAAGGGAATTAGTTCTTCTCTCTTGGATTTTTTAAAGTGCGCTTCCATACTTATTAAGTTGCCTCTTATTGTAGCTTTAAGGGTACACCAGTTGTTAGAATGTGAAGTTTCATTAGGTTTATTATCTTTAAAGAATCTTTCTATCTGAGTTCTAAGAACCTCTTGGTTTTTTTTATTGTGGAATATATAATCATTTATTCTCCAAGTCGTTCTATTTTTAATGTTCCACTGGTCTTTCATAGTCCATATATTAATACTATGGTCCGACCATGTATTGTTCCTGATATCAATTTTCTCTAAGTTTTCTAAAGCATTCATGTCCCCCCAAATCATATCAATACGTGAGTATGAATAATGGACTCTAGAGAAAAAAGTGTAATCCAGTTTCTCTGGGTAAGAAGATCTCCATAAATCAAAAAAATCGAACTCATTTTTTATATTTCTAAGGCTTTTTGCCATTTTAGTTACTGAGCTATTCACTGAGGACTTAAGGCTAAGTTTCTTATCTAAAACTGGATCCAACACACAATTGAAATCTCCTGCAATCAAACATACTCCAGTCTTAATCATTTCCACTTGTTCCAAAATCCTTCTTAAAGTAACCACAGGAAAAGAATTTGGCAAGTATATATTGACTAGAGTATATTTAATTTCGTTTATTTTACAAATAACTATTAGAAATCTACCTTCCCTGTCCGCATATTGATATATTAGTTCGAATTTCACCGTATTTGCCACTATTATAGCAACCCCCCTTTTTTTACAATCGTTAAGCGAAGCCTGGAACAAGTATGGGAATCTTTCTCCTCCCCATTTTACATTGTCGATCAATCTCCAATGTGTCTCTTGGAGGAAACCAATCTCTATCTTTTGATTAACCATAGAGTCATATACTAGTGCTCTTTTAGAGTGAGA